ATACTAGAATGTGTTCAAATTAATCACTCATGATTTGCTGCATTAAAAAGTCAGACTAATTAACAAATGATTAGCAAATGATAAAGAATTACATGATGTTGGGCTAATTAGCATAACATTAATTGCTTTGTTTTATAATACCCAGCTGGCTAATTGTTCTTTCTCTCTCTTCTCCATAATTATTCCAGAAAGGAGGTGACTGTGGTTTCTTTACTCCCCACGGAGGGGTCCTGAAGCCCACGGTTAGCTGCCTTTAAATGAAGTATTCACATGAGGCTGGTACTGCCACAACATCAATGTCCATCACCAACTGTAAGGCAACCACATACGCAAAGCAGCAGGTTTAGAGCCCAAACCTCTTGATCAATAGGCCATTATTTATATTATAATGCTAATTCATAAATCCACCATCTAGTAACCTGAAAAATCTCTGGACCAACAGATGAAAGGTTAATGAGATTAATACCTCCTTTCCCACCACTTTTTTTTATACAAAATGGCACCCATGACAGCATTTAGCAGATCAGTGACTCTATACAGAAAATAAAGTATATAAAAATTGTGGATTATCACATTGTGTATATCTACACTGTAGGCCAGTTCAATGTGGATCTGACTAGTTGCTGATAGTAAGAAGGACTTACAAGATATTAAGTAAACATCAAACTACTGATCTGTACAAGCATATACATATCATTAACACACAATCATATTAATAAACAAATGTAAAGAACTACCTGATCTCTTAAGTTTGATGTCTATATGGTTCATAACAGTCAATTCTTATCAACTCTCAACATTACTGTCCAAAAATATAGACTTAATCCAATCCCTACCCCTAAAATTGGTTTGGGGTACAGCAAGAACATAGAGCACTGATTTTTGATTGCACTCATGGAATAGTGCAATTTTGTTCATTGTTACCCCAAAATCTTCCATAGTTCACCTTAAATAACTGCAGTTCATATAGGAAGTTGGCCATTGAGAATTATTACAAAACTGAATGATCTATTTGATAAAACATACAGTAAAACAGTAATATTGTGGAATATTATACAAAAAATATTTTAAAATGTAATTTATTCCTGTGATAACAAAACAAAATTTTCTGCAGCCATTTTATTATAAATCTATCCATCCATCTATATAATTTATAAAGCTTTTAAGTCTTCTCAGATGATCTCCTGCTTTGTCTTCTTCAGAGTAACACTGTAAGCCACCGATTCTTTATTTTATATATAAAAAAAGCCATTTCTAAACAGTACACTACACTGTAAATTTGTTTTTGTGATTTTAACAGTAAAAGACTGTAAAAATGCTACAGTAAGTAACAGTAACAGTAAGTCTCCATACTATATTCGGTGAATAAATGTGATTACATTTAATGTAATTTTACAGTAAAATACTGTTAAAAATACGGTTTTTGGAAGTGAAAAAGAAAAAGTCATCGTATAATTTACAGTGACAAACCGTAAATTGACACTCACAGAATTCCCTGCATGACACTTCATATTTGATGTTTTTTTGTTGTTGTTGTTGAAATAACAAATGTTTCTTAGTTTTTTTCTTACCAGTTGTGTACATTAGGGTTTAATCCTACATCTAATGTTGTTAATTCAATGTTTATTGCATTATTTCAGTATCATGTGTGTCACCGTGATGGTGTTTAGTGTTTGTATGAAAGAGACTGTGCACATTCTATATATAAGTATTGCTCTTCTCAGCTCGTAGAAAAGCTGTTTGTGATGAGCTTTGGTTCATCATGTGACTTTCTCATCACCACCAGTTTTTGGTGGTTATCAGTCCATTACAATGGTTCAAAACAGATATTAACACTTCAATATGTTGGTTTATTAACATTACATCAGTTAATGAAATACGAAATGTTGCTACCATATTTTTTATGGTGAAGTTCTGGCAACCACAGCTGCCGGTATTTTACCGTAAATGTCACCAATATTTTTTTTTACAGTGTAGCTCATATGCATGTGTATTCCCAAGGAGCAAACTGTGCACTCTGCTCACAGGGATATAGTCAAATGTGACAGCTTAAGAGAGGCTATCCTGTGGGTCAGTTTCCCACTTATCTCCTGTCATCTGGCCTTTTTGAAGGCTCACTTTAACAATCTCCATTAAATCAGGGACAACTTCGTAATGGCTCTGTCTCACCCTTCAGCCCCTAGGCCAAACCTAGGGTTGCTAAAGTTGTAAAGGCCCAGGCAGTCTGCATCACTATTAACAGTACCTCAGAGGTCACCGCTTGCTGCAGGAAAGGCAGCCCTGCATAAGAAAGCCTAGGACCCTGGAGCCACAGGACAGGGAAATAAATAGTAATTGCAAAACAATGGTTAAAAGGCCCCTTGAAATGAGGGAGTTGCTGTACTTTATTTTACAGCAATGGCCACAGGGCAAGAAAGGTCTGTGCTCAGGTCTCAGTGAGACAAAAAGATGCATCTGACTAATTCAATCTGAATAATGTTTAATTATTAGCACTCCTGAAGGGGAGAAATGTGTAGGGGAAATGACCTATGAGAATAATGCACAGTCAAACGAGGCATTTAATTAAAAACAGTATGAAGAGCACTGCAGGAAAAGATGACTTCGAATCATCTTTTTATTTTCAGTAATTAGGTGTGCAAATATAAGCCAGTGCACATGGGCATGTGCATAACATCTCACATTTAAATTAGCAAGTCAAGAAAAAAAAGAAACACTCCTCTTAACATGTCACCCAGCTTTAGGGCTCTTATTTTGTTCTTTGGGTTAGAAGACACACACACACACACACACACACGTATGTACACGTATTCCTGATTAATTCAATTAGATGTGAGCTGAAGCTACAAAGAGCACATTGAGGTGACTATGTTTGTCATGCCCTATAAACCTGGTGAGAAGGAGGAGGGGAGAGGAGTAGGATCAGAGTCGAAGAGTGGGATAAAGATAGAACAAGGTAAGCCAAAAAAATAAAAAAACACACACACACAGAGGAGAGAGGAATATACCAAGAATGACCTGGGATAAGTGAGGGAGTTGATTATGTTGCAAACAAGGGGTAGCACACAGATTGCTGAGAATGAAGGAATTTATAACAGGCATCTGCTCCCATGGGAAGAGGAGTCTAAAGGAGGAAGCGAAGTGGGTCAGCTGCTTGGCAGAGCAGGCTGTCTTGTAAGCGTTGAACACTAAATACTCTGAGACCTGGGCAGAGATGTCGCACTGCAGCCCAAGGTGGCATTTTATTTCAGAACTAAATTAAAGGTAGTTAGCTAGTACACCCATAAATGTAAATGCTGTTTTCATTTTCTCTCCCTCATGTCATTCCAAACATGACTTTCTTTTCTTCTGTGGAAGACGAAGATATTTTGAAGAATGTTGCTGGTTACCAATAGTTTTGGTTCCCATTGACTTCCACTGTATGGACAAAAATACAAGGAAGTCAATGGGAATGGAAGCTGTTTGGTTACCTACATTCTTCAAAATATAAGAAATGCACATAGGTTTGGAATGACATGAGGGTGAGTAAATGATGAGTCTTCCTTATCCCTTTAACCATTTCACAATAGTAGTTTGTGTCAGACTCTGTTCCGTGTTTTGTGTGTCCTGCTCCCCATGTGCCTTCCCATGCCCTTATTTGGTTAGTTTCCGGTTCCTCCCCGATTAGTTAAGTTCATTTGTCCCAGGTGTTTCCCTTGATGTTTCATTGCTCCCAGGTGTGTCTCGTCATCCCCTCCTCCTGTGTGTATAAAAAGTGTTCCCAGTCCCAAGTTCTCTGTCCGCTGTTAAACGTCTTCCTGAGTTCCTGAAAATAAAGTCTCGGTAAAAGTATTCTCCAGCGTCTCCTCGTTCCTCGTTCCTCGTGTATGTGCATCGTGACAGAACAGCGGACCTAAACTGAAAGTAAGCGGCATCCCTTCCCCGTGTTTAATTTCCGTGTTTCTGAAAGTGTTTTTGTTTCCTGGTCCCACCCCCGCGGCGATGGAAATTGCCGCTCGCGTCGCCGCCCTAGCTCGCCTCGATCTCCCCTTCTACGAGTACGCCCGGGAGTTCTGCAAGCTCGCTGAGGTGATGGCGTTAGGGGACCGCCCAGGGAGGGCTCCAGGCCCCGAATTAGGCCCCGTTAATTTCCCCAAGTATTTTTTTTGGGGGGGGGGTAGTATGGCCCCAGCCGTAGAGGCCGAGGTGGGGGCTGGGGCCGCAGCCTCGGAGGCTGCTCCGCCTTGGCCTCCCGAGTCCCCTGCTCCGCCATGGCACCCCAAACGGGTACCGCTCTGGAGGCCCACTGTCCCGTGTCTGTCCTGAGGGACCTCCAGAGTGCCCACCCATTCTCCAGCGTCTCCTCGTGTATGTGCATCGTGACAGTTTGATGACCACAAAGTGTCCAAATGCTTTTTGTCTTAATTTTACAGTATAAACATTATCTCCCGGTTTCACAGACAAGGTTTAAGCCTAATCCCAGACTAAAATCCCTCAAAATGCACACCAGTACAATTTATTTTTTTTCTAAGGCACGTTTATAAAAATTACTTAAATGTCTTTATTGAACTATGGCATAATCTTGGTTTAGTCTAAACCCTGTCTGTGAAACCAGGCCATTATCTATTATTTAATCAATTAAAATTGATAAAATTCTAAAATGTTAAATTATATTTTAATTAAATTCTTTGTCTAAAAATATTTTTGCATTAAAGGTATGCTGTTTTTCTCTAAAATAATTGCCCTTTGATTACATATTTTGTTATCCAACACAATGCCATTTATACATTATACTTTATATTTTTTATATTATTTTATATTATTATTTCACAAGTGTGACATTCAGATTTCAATGTTTTATCCAATAATTTCAGGAAATTGTCAAGAGAGAAGATTTCAGGTCAGGGTTGTCCTTTAATGGCTCTCTGGCTTTAGGTCAGGTTTTAATTAATCACATTATTAAAAAAGTACCACAAAACAAATATTAAACAATACACTGGGTACTTGATATCATAATTTTTAGCGCAAAACTATATAACCAAACTTTTTTTTTTTTCTAAAAAACAATTTGCAGAAAACTACAATAGTACAAGCAGTACTAATGCAAAGTCCTTAATTCAAGTATGAAATATTAGAATTAGCCAACAATACAACTGAAGAGAAGACACATGATGCTAACAAAACACACAGATGAGAAACAAAGTCAAACAAAACAAACAAAAAACACCCCACAAAATGTACTTGAGCAAAAAAGGAAAGGATTAAACATACAGTACTGGTAGACATAAGTAGACTCTTCTTTGGGAGATGTGCTCATGCCCTCTGCTGGCCAGAAGAGAAACTGTGGCTCTATTTGAATTTAGGCTCTGATGACCACAAACCGTGTCAACTGTTTTGTTAGTTTAAAAGAGTGTCCATTTTCACTTCTTTTTCTTTCTCTTTTTAGTCTTTCCCTTCTTTTCTTTCTTTTGTGATTTTCCTCCTTTAGTTTTCCCTTTCTTGTGATCCTCCTCCCCACTGGCCTTGGCCGCTCGTGTCCGTTTTTTGCCCAGAGGTGTTCGGCTGTACCATGCCTATCAATACAGAAAATACAAACATAATGTACACTCATTATATATATAGCTGGGTTCAACACATGCACCCGTCCAGAAAGCATCACAAAAAACTGACCTTAAAGGCTTCCTCCTCTTCTTTGTAGACAGGATCTTGTCTTGCAAGAGGGGGGATGAACTCCACCGCCGTGAGGGGTCTCTTGGTCTGCTGGTTGAGGCGGTGAGAGTTCAGGACAGTTTGGATCGCCTGAAGGATGTGACCCTGAGTGTAACCATCTGTTACTTTAGCTAGGGAGCTCAGATCCAGCTTAGGGCCCAGCTGAGCACCACCTGCTTGGAGCAGCTCCTTCCACAGAGCTAAACATTAAAGATACATATGTTTGTAAACATATGTAAGTAAACACAACATGCAGTTTTTAAATGAAGGATTTTATTATTAAGGATAACTTATGTGAAAGACACAGATGTTTACTTACTAAATCTTGAAGCATAATCTGGTCTAGGGATCAAAATGATCTTCTTGTAAACTTTACAGAAAGGTTTTATGTCTGCATCAAAAGGTCTATGAGTCGTCCCCACCACTAATACACGGTCCTCTGGTTTAATAGATTTCAGGACCTTCGGCAGGTTTTTCTTTAGTCTTTTGGGTTCCATCTAGAAATGAACAGAATGAAGAAAAAACTGAACTGAAGAAAACAATAGTTATGGAGGGATATTTTTTTAGGCCAAAACCTCGAAATGAGTTAGCATTATAGCCGCACTTCTGGTTTCATTGTCTTAAAGTCAAGAGTTTTTTTTGAATGGGTATTTGGTTAAATGCCTGAAAAAAGGTCTGTGGTTAACACAAACCTAATATGTTTTCATGTAGTGTTCCACAACATAAACATCAGTACACCTTTGTGATAACTGAAAAAGCGGCTACTAATAAGTGGCTAAATATGACTACAGAAGTTGTTGTAGACGTGTAGTTCATTAATTTAGCTTTTTACATATGGTGATTGTATTTAGGCTTCAAAATTCATTTTGTTGTGTTCATTTGTGATCATGAACAAAACATGTAAGAATCATAGAGTTTTGATGGTGACAGAGCTTATTTTCTTTAATAATCCAAAAGCCATTGGAAAAATCCTGTTGGTTTTTTGTTGATTGAATCAGGTTGATGCTAATTTCCAGGTTGGCCTACAAAAATATGTCATCACTGCAGCGCTCTATTAATATTACCACAGTGTATCTTCATCTTTAACCACAAGAGGTCAGCAGAGGCCACCTCCTCACACTGACAAAGAGGCCACCTCCTCACACTGACAACGTCTTTAAAAAATGAGTTTGCATACCTTGGATGACTGTGAATGAAAGACTAAACAAATGAAGAAGAATTTCACAGCTGATGGAATGGTATTGAAGTTGTATGCCGGGATGGATTGAAAGTTATGAGTTTATTTAGTAAGTGTTCTACTGACTGTGAATATAAGCTGACATGTTCTCTCCCTGCTGGTAGACAAACCTCTTTCTCCAGCTTTGGAACTTTCTTGTAGAATGTTTTCTCAGCGTCGCCAATCCAAATGACTGAGGGCTGCAGCTGCCGAGCCACCTGCCAAAACACGACAATGTTCCTCCAATGCAGGCCAAACGGTACAACAACACAAACAATCATCAGCTCTCTCACTCATAAACAATCACTTATCGGCCAGAGAAGAAACAACACTGACTGTAATCAACACTGCCCCCAAAACACATGATACCACATTAGTGAAGTGAGTGCATGCTTTAATATCGTTTGACTGAAAACAATGCGTCCTGTTCACTACTGATTAACAAAGTTTTCTGTAACCCCCACATACACCCATAAACTATGTTCCCTCTAATTTTCATTGTTTGTTGATCAAAACCTAGTTTCTGATGAGAAGACCATTTGGCCATCTAGAAACCCCCTTTTTTAAAGAATTCTATAAATAAACAAGAAAAAATGATCTGAGCTAAATAAGCTTTCTACTGATGTATGGTTTGTTAAGATAGGACAATATTTGGCCGAGATATAACTATGTGAATATCTGGAATCTGAGGGTGCAAAAAAATAAAAATACTGAGAAAATCGCCTTTAAAGTTGTCCAAATGATCATTGTTTTGAGTTGGATCTTTTTAATGAATAAGTAAATTCAGTTCACAAAACTGATCTGAAAGATTAGTTAACAAATTGGAATGATGAAAAATGTTAAATGCTCACTGAAAGCGAAATTAATAACAGCTTAAATTTCTGTTTGTTCATCACACAAAGTTTTAGCAAATATCTTAACATACTTTCATGGCGCCTAAGTATTCTTTTTGAAGCTTCAGTGTCTCAGTTCATATTCACTGTAAGTGAATAGACACAGCATTATCATTCTTCAAAATTATTATTTTGTGTTCCACGGAAGAATTCGAGTTTGGAGTGATATGAAGGTTAGAAAATTATGTCAAAATTCTCATATTTGGGTGGACTACTCCTTGAAGTGAAAAGAAGTATGTGTAACCCACCCTGAGATAAGAGGCCGGCATTGAGAGCATAGAAAGAACTGTAGTGATACATGCTCATATTTTGTATGTGAGGGTATTTTTCCTCACATTTCCAGCTCTCTTAGACATCTCAGTGATAACCAGAAATCATTGCCCTTTAAAGGAATAGTTCACCCAGAAAAAAATAAATTGCTGAAAATTTACTCATCCTCAGGCAATCCACGATATTGTAGATGATCGTAGATGATTGTTTCTTCATTAGAATGGATTTGGAGAATTTTAGCATTACATCACTTGCTCACCAATGGATTCTATGTAGTAAATGGGTGCCGTCAGAATGACAGCTGATAAAAACATCACAATGATCCACAAGTAATCAACATGGCTCCAGTCCATCAATTAATGTCTTGTGATTTGAAAAGCTGTGTGTTTGTAAGAAACAAATCTATTATTAAAACATTTTTAATTTCAAACCATTTATGCTTTTTGCATTCTCCAGTAAAAAAAAAAGAGTCGTCTCATTTGAATCAGGAGAGAAATATGCACAGATCAAGCACTCATGTACTCAAGTACTCATATTTTGTCCAGAAAGGATGGTTTAAAATGAAAATGCCTTGATGGATTTGTCATTCAAAAACAGATTTTCACTCCATAAGAGGTTCATTGAGTTGTTCATTACTCATGGATTAATATTTTGTGAGCAGGTGATGTACTGCTACATTTCACAAAATCTGTTCTGATAAAGAAACAAACTCATCTACATTTTGGATGGCCTAAGGGTAAGTACATTTTCAGCTAATTTTCATTTTAATTTCTTTAAAATCTGTAAGCAGCAGGGGGCGATACAAACAGAAAAATCACCACAGTGTGCCAGCTGTGTGTTGCACGAGTAAGATATACTCCTTGTGCTACGTGTAATTACCCTGTCTGGATTACCTGTTGTGAATTTATTAAATATTATTGTATTCGTCATCTTCGTTGTCCTGCCTGATCCCTAGCACACCCGTCCCCATGACAGAATAACCGACCGAAAAAACAGTTTAAATTGCGTGTTTCCCCTCCGTTTTGTTTCTCTTTTTTTACTCAGTTTTTTGTTTCCGTTGTGTGTTCCCCATGGATCCCTTCACTCGCCCCGAATTCCTCCTTCTCCTGCTGGAGCAGGAAGGCAAAACTCTCGAGGACCATACCAAACTGTTCCTGTTGGTCGCTAACATCACCAGCTATCCGGACGATAGGTCGCCACTCACCATCTGCCCCATGGATGATCTCGCCAGATCCACTCTGGTCCCAGAGCCCAGCCCACCATCTCCCCGCAGTACGGAGCATCAGCCTGAGCCCACCGATGATGGAGAGCCATTTCCCGCCGCGATCCGC